AAATTAAAACAAGGCTGGGTGCAGTGGCTCATGCCTGTAATCCCAGCCCTTTGGGAGGCTGAGGAGGGCAGATTGGTTGAGCTCACGAGTTTGAGGCCAGCCTGGGCAACATATGGAGACTCCATCACTACAAAAAATACAATTAGCCTGGTGTGGTGGTGCACGCTTGTAGTCCTGGCTATTCCAGAGGCTGAGGTGGGAGGATCGCCTGATTCTGGGAGGCAGAGGTTGCAGTGAACCAAGACTGTACCACTGCACTCCAGCCTGGGCAATAGAGCCAGATCTTGTCTTAAAAAAACAAAACAGAAAACAATTTAAAAAACAACTTAAACCTGCTTGTTTTTGTTTTTGTTTTTGAGATGGAGTCTCACTGCCCAGACTGGAGTGCAGTGGTGTGATCTTGGCTCACTGCAACCTCTGCTTCCCGGGTTCAAGTGATTCTCCTGCCTCAGCCTCCTGAGTAGCTGGGATTACAGGTGTGCACCACCATGACTGGCTGATTTTTGTATTTTTAGTAGAGATGGGGTTTCACCATGTTGGGCAGGCTGGTCTCGAACTCCTCACCTCAAGTGATCAACCCACCTTGGCCTCCCGAAGTACTGGGATTACAGGTGTGAGCCACTGTGTCCTGCCAGAACCATTTATTTATCTTTCATTTTATAAATTTTATGATTGTAGTTTGATCCACTTTATCTAGATTTTTCTAGGACACAGATTCGAGTCCCCTGGCCTTTGAGGAATGTGGGTGCCAATGAGTCACTTGCTCCCTGTTGTGAACCAGTGTCTGTCTCTCAACCAGCTTTGTGTTATATACTTGTTGCATATGCTGGAACTCCCTTGAAATATTAAAAATTTTGTTTACTAGCATAAAAGACCCCTCAGAAGGCAGTCAACTGCATGTACTGATAATGGAAATGAAGACAAAAGTCAAGTGTTTTAAAACAGCAGTTATTAGGCAGAAGATAGCAATTTAAATAGATTAAATTGTAGTCATTAGACTAGCTTAATGGTTTGCATCTGTGTGAAATGGTTCACGTGACTCCATTTTTTTTTTTAAACAATTGTACGCTATCATAGTTGTGATTTGAGATAATTTGAGGGTGCCTCAGGATGTATCTGTTGCTACTGTTAGGGTCTGTTCTTTATTCATTTATACAACTGGCATCTAAAAACCTATTATGGGTTAGGTGTGGGGGGCTTATAGAGGCAAACCAAACAGACTCTGCCTTCATGGTGCTTATGAGATATGTACACAGCATGCCACCAGATAGGGATGAGTATTTTGACTTAAATAATTTAATTAATTAATTTTCTGAGGCAGGGTCTTGCTCTGTTGCCCAGACTGGAGTGCTGTGGCATGATCATAGCTCACTGCAGCCTGGACCTTCCAGCCTCAAGCAATCCTCCCGCCTCAGCCTCCTTCATAGCTAGGACTACAGGTGCTTGCTGCCATGCGTGGCTAATTTTCAATTATTCACAGAGACAGGGTCTCAGTATGTTACCCAGGCTGGTTTTGAACTACTGAGCTTAAGTGATCCTCCTGCCTCAGCCTCTCAAAGTGCTGGGATTACAGGTATGAGCCACCAGGTTTTGTCGCATTTTGATTTTAGACAGAGAGATCAGGGAGGCCTCTCTGAGGACGTAACATTTGAGATGAAGCCTTGAAGAGGAAGCTGTTTGAAGGTGGAAGGAAGAGAAAGGAGGCAGCATGAGATGAGATTTGAATGGGAACCAGGAGCCAGGCCATCAGGGTTTCATCAGAGAGTGGGAAGTTTGCATATATTTTAAGTGCCATGGGAAAATATCAGGAGGCTTTAAGCAGGGGTGACGTGATCTGATTTTTATTTTGTTTGGTTGTGATGTATGCTTTAAAAAGATCCCTCTGACTTCTCCACGAAGAACAGATTGGGATATGAATGTGGAAGCAAGACCTTCCCTCCCTCCCTCCCTCCTTTCCTTCCTTCCTTCCTCCTTCCCTCCCTCCTTCCCTCCCTCTTTCCCTCCTTTTCTCCTTCCCTCCTTCCCACCCTCCCTCCCTCCCTCCCTCCCTCCCTCCCTCCCTCCCTCCTGTCCTCCCTCCCTTGGTCACCCAGGCTGGAGTGCAGTGGCACGATCTCGGCTCACTGCAACCTCTACCTACTGGGTTCAAGTGAGTCTCTTGCCTCAGCCTCTCAAGTAACTGGGATTACAGGCATGTGCCACCACACACGGCTAATTTTTTAAATTTTTAGTAGACACAGGGTTTCACCATGTTGCCTAGGCTGGTCTCAAACTCCTGACCTGAAGTGATCCACCTGCCGTGGCCTCCCAAAGTGTTGGGATTACAGGTGTGAGCCACCACTCACAACTGCAAGACAGTTTCTATTCAGTAACTGCAAATACTGATGCCCTGGATTAGGTAAGATGCATAGGAGATGGAAATGGTAGCTTTGAGATGTGATTTGAAGATAGAGTCTGTTCTTTTTTTGTGGTTGATATGGCTTAGCTGTGTCTCCACCAAATCTCATCTTGAATTGTGGCTCCCATAATTCCCATATGTTGTGGAAAAGACCGCGTGGGAAATAATTGAATCACAGAAGTGGTTTCCCCAGACTGTTCTCATGGTAGTGAATAAGTCTCATGAGATCTGATGATTTTTTTTTTTTTTTTTTTTTTTTTTTTTGAGATGGAGTTTCACTCTTTTGCCCAGGCTGGAGTGCAGTGGCGCAATCTCGGCTCACTGCAACTTCTGCCTTCCGGTTTCAAGTGGTTCTCCTGCCTCAGGCTTCTGAGTAGCTGGGATTATAGGTGCCCGCTACCATGGCTGGCTAATTTTTGTATTTTTAGTAAAGACAGAGTTTTACTTTGTTGGCCAGGCTGGTCTCGAACTCCTGACTTCGTGATTCGCCCACCTCGGCCTCCCAAAGTGCTGGGATTACAGGTGTGAGCCACCGCACCTGGTCCTGTATCTGATGATTTTATAAGGGCTCTCATTCTTTCTTGTCTGCCGCCACGTCAGACATGTCTTTTGGCTTTCACCATGATTGTGAGACCTCCCCAGCCATGTGGACCTCTAAGTCCCATTAAACTCTTTTTCTTTATAAATTACCCAGACTCTGGTATGTCTTTATCAGCAGTGTGAAAATGGGCTAATACAGTATGGGAGAGGAACGGGGTCTTGCTCTGTCATCCAGTCTGGAGTGCAATAGTGCAAAGAATGCTCACTGCAGCCCCAGCCTCCTGGGCTCAAGTAATCCTCCTGCCTCAGCCTCCTGAGTGCGTGGCTGGGACTACAGGCATGCACCACAACACCTGGCTGATTTTTAATTTTTTTTTTGTAGAGACAGGGTCTCCCTATGTTGCCCAGGTTGGTCTTGAACTCAGGTTGGGCTCAAACGATCCTCCTACCTTGGCCTCCCACAGCGCTAGGATTACAGGCCTGAGCCACTGCATCTGGCCAGAATCTGTCTTGCTGATAACTTAATGGTATCTGTTTTCATATATACAGGTGTGTGTGTATATATATAAAAGAAGAGTTAACTGTGCGTATTTATTTAGCCCCTTGACTTTTGAGACACTGTTCGACCTCACGTTATCAATTTAACACAACTGTGATGCATAAAAAACCTAAATGCAGTTATTCATTCCCTTCCTGATGGGTATAAAAACGTCAGTAAATTATTGATCACAAAGTATTTTGCTTCCACAGGCATATAAATATTTAATCCTTATGGTAATTGACATCTACATATTTTATCTTCCTGAGGACAGGCATCTAAATTAGACATCCACATCATTGATAACTATATATTTCAATTGCATTTGAGGACCAGTGAAACAATTTAAGTGTGCAGTTGGTGGGCAGTCATGTAATTCACAGCCCAAAACTTTATATCTAAAAATGTAAATACAAATTCCTCAGACTCCTTTTTTTTTTGAGATGGAATCTTGCTCTGTCACCCAGACTGGAGTGCAGTGGTACCATCTTGGCTCACTGCAACCTCCGCCTCCTAGGTTCAAGTGATTCTCTTGCCTCAGCCTCCCAAGTAGCTGGGACTACAGGCATGCGCCACCATGCCCAGCTAATTTTTGTATTTTTAGTAGAGATGGGGTTTCACACTGTTGGCCAGGCCGGTCTTAAACTCCTGACCTCAGGTGATCCGCCTGCCTCAGCCTCCCACAGTGCTGGGATTACAGGTGTGAACCACTGTGCCCTGCCTTCGGATTCCTTTGTAAACTGATAAGCCATTTAATCAGTAAATCTAGGAGAAGAATATCCAGGGGCATTTATATATATATGTTTTTTCTTTAGTAAGAATATCTTGAAAGCTGGCAGTCTGCTATGTTTTTTGTTATTTTAACTGAGCCTCTACTCTGTGACTGATGCTTCAGCTCTCTCTGTCTTAGCCAGGGCGGTTCAAGCTTCATTGTGGGTACAGTGCTAGGGAAGCAAGAGTGAGGGGGAGTGATGCTGGAAAGGAAGAAAAAGACATGAAATGCACTTGCTTGTTCATCATAGCACTGTTCATAAGAGCAAAGACGTGGAATCAATCCAGGTGCCTATCCGTGGCGGATTGGATAAAGAAAATGTGGTATATATACCATAGAATACTATACAGCCATAAAAAGTAACAAGATCATGTCCTCTGCAGCAACATGAATTTAGCTGCAGCTGGAGCCCATTATCCTAAGCGAATTAGAATTAATGCACAGATACTGCATGTTCTCTCTTATAAGTGGGAACTCCACATGGGGTAGCAGGGACATAAAGATGGCAACAGTAGACACTGGGGACCACTAGAGGGGAAAAGGAGGAGGCGGGGAAAAGATTGAAAAACTGTTGGATTCTATGCTCAGTACCTAGGTAATGAGAACATTCATACCCTAAACTTCAGCATCACGTACATGTACCTCCTGAATCTAAAAGTTGAAAAAAATTGGCTGTAATTTTAGCATTTTGCCAGAAGCATCAGCACTGCGAGGAGGAGGCCCTGCCAATTTCTGTGTGGGCTGTTGTCAGGATGGTAAAGCTGTTCATCAGAAACCTGCCCCGGGAGTCACAGAGCTCATTCTTCAAGCAGTATGGGAAGGTGCTGGAATGTGACATCATTAAGGATTATGGCTTTGCCGGGCACAGTGGCTCACGCCTGTAATTCCAGCACTTTGGGAGGCCGAGGTGGGTGGATCACGAGGTCAGGAGTTCGAGACCAGCCTGACTAACATGGTAAAACCCTGTCTCTACTAAAAATACAAAAGTTAGTCAGGTGTGGTGGCGGGCGTCTGTAATCCCAGCTACTCAGGAGACTGAGGCAGGAGACTCTCTTTAACTCGGGAGGAGTTGCAGTGAGCTGAGATTGCATCATTGCACTCCAGCCTTGGTGACAGAGCAAGACACCATCTCAAAAACAAAAAAAAAAAAAAAAAGAATTACGGCTTTGTGCACATAGAAGACAAAACTGCAGCAGAAGAGGCCATACGCAACCTGCACCATTGCAAGCTTCATGGAGTGCACACCAACATTGAAGCCAGCGAGAATAACAGCAAAACCTCAACCAAGTTGCATGTGGGCAGCATCAGTCCCACCTGCACCAAGAAGGAGCTTCGAACCCAGTTTGAGGAGTGTGGTCTGGTCGTCGAATGTGACATCATGAAAGATTATGCCTTCGTACACATGGAGCGGGCAGAGGATGCAGCGGAGGCCATCAGGGGCCTCGATAACACAGAGTTTTCAGGTGGGATGTGTATGGGCTGAAATTCCGAGCTGCAGTTGTGCATGAGAATACACCCTTCGTGGTACCCAGTCTCCGGGATGTTCTCGGCTCTGTGCATTCAGTCCCTCAGGAACCGTGGACCTTAATTTACCGTACTAAGTTCAGACTTTCTCTTTCTTTCCTTTCCTCTCCCGTGCATTTTCCTGTTCTTCTGTCCTTCAGTACTTCTGTAGCTTCCCACTCATGTTCCATTCTCCCAGCAGACCTCATTGTGTGCAGAAACTGCGGTGGGGGCCTGTGCTGTCTCCTCCCCGCCTCCTGCCACTGTTGGATTTGGGATTGATCTTGGTGAGAGTCTCACTGCCCCTGGGTCTCTTTTTGGTCTAAAGGTTAGACCTACAGAGTTGGGTCACTTTTTTTCTTTCCAGTGAAATAAATAGTTTTTCAACTTAAAAAAAAAAGTTGAAAAATTATATAAAGACAAAATTAGGCTGGGTACAGTGGCTCATGTCTATTATCCCAGCACTTTGGGAGACTGAGGAGGGTAGATCACCTGAGGTCAGGAGTTCAAGACCAGCCTGGCTAACATAGTGAAACCCCATCTCTACTAAAAATACAAAATTTGTCTGGGTGTGTTGCATGCCTGTAATCTGAGCTACTTGGGAGTCTGAAGTAGGAGAATCGCTTGAATCTAGGAGACGGAGGTTGCAGTGAGCTGAGATCATGACAGTGCACTCCAGTCTGGATGACAGAGTGAGACTCTGTCTCAAAAAAAACTGGCCAGGCGCAGTGGCTCATGCTTGTAATCCCAGCACTTTGGGAGGCCAAGGTGGATGGATCATGAGGTCAGGAGTTTGAGACCAGCCTGACCAACATGGTGAAACCTTGTCTCTACTAAAAATACAAAAATTAGCTGGGTGGGGTGGTGCATGCCTGTAGTCCCAGTTACTTGGGAGGCTGAGGCAGAATAATCACTTGAATCCAGGAGGTGGAGGTTGCAGTGAGCCAAGATCGCACCACTGCACTCCAGCCTGGGTAACAAGAGTGAAACTTGTCTCAAAAGGCATGAGCCACTGTGCCAGCTAATTTTTGTATTTTTTGGTAGACACTGGGTCTTACCATATTGACCAGGCTGGTCTTGAACTCCTGGCCTCAAGTGATCCACCTGCCTTGGCCCCCAAAGTGCTGGGATTACAGCTGTGAGCCACCGTGCCTGGAAAACTAGGGTATACTTTTAGCCACATGGGCACAATTTCGTCTTTGAGGGGCACTTAATTATTGGACTCATATGACATCTGGTGATACTGGAAAGTGTCAAAACAAGTAGTCTCTGCTTAGAATGAGATGCTTAGCTGATGCTGAGCAAAAGCATGGATCCAGAAGGGATGACATTGAAATCCTTCTCTACTATCTCCACCCAGCGCACCCAGCCCCAGAATGCACACCCTCCAAGGGTAAGTGTGCATGTTGCCATAAAACCATAAAACTATTGAGGCTGAAGGGCCGCTGGGGTCATCTGAGTTAGTTGTCTGCCCAGTATACACATGTTGCTAGTTTTCTCTAAAACGATGTCTTTAAATTTCCTCTATGATCAATAACTGTAAAACCCCTGGTTTTTGACACATGATTGACCTGGGTGGTCCATATTCCCTTTCTTCTCAAGGTAACTAAACACTAGTTTTTATTTTCATACATGATGTTCAGCAGTTTGCAACCTTCCTAGTAAAATTGTCCCAAAGTTGGAAGCAAAGGCAAACGATCACATTCTAAATTCCCGGGTTTCCCACTTTCAACCTCTAAATTTGGTTTTCCAAGCAGCCCCTGGTTAAGTCACCAAAAGACTGAGAGGAGTTGAAGGCATAAAGACAAAAGGAGCATATTTGATTTTGGGGGCAACCAAGTTCCTTTGGGTTTTGCTCAACCTGTAACATTGATCTCCCCGCCAGGGCTCTGTCTTTCAAGGGTAATAGTGGCATTTGCCAACAGGACACCATCGTGCTCATACAAGTCATAGATTTTCTCAGTCACAGCCTGGGTTTGAAATGGCGGTTGGTAATGGCATTAGTGGAGTAGAGGGTGGTGAGTTTTAGCACATGGGAAAGTTTGCTGGGCTTACATGTGAACTGGCATCTTTTTTTTTTTTTTTTTTGAGACAGTGTCTTACTCTGTTATCTAGGCTGGAGTGCAGCGGTGCAATCTTGGCTCACTGCAACCTCTGTCTCCTGAGTTCAAGCGATTCTTTTGTTTCACTCCCACGTGCCCGCCACCATGCCCAGCTAATTTTTGTATTTTTAGTAGAGGTGGGGTTTTACCATGTTGGCCAGCTGACTTCAAACTCCTGGCCTCAAGTGATCCACCTGCTTCAGCCTCCCAAAGTGCTGGGATTACAGGCATGAGTTGCCACGGCTGATCCTTTTTTTTTTTTCATTGAAGATCAAGTGTTTCTCCTCATCGTTGGTTGCGTGCAGCTGTACCTCCTGTGCCTTTTCTTGCTCAGCATTTTGTCACTGTCTCTTCCTCCCTCTCTCCTTCTGCCCCTCGCCCTTAATTGTTTCATGCATTTCTGCTACGAATTTTAGCAAGTACATATCTTTTTTTAGTAACACTCTAGCATGCTCTATGTTATACTATATTATTCCTCGGAAGAAAGAAGCCAAACTGATTTACATTAGTCAAACGATTATTAAATATCAGGTTGACAGAAAGAACTTCTGTCTTTATGAACAATGGCAGGTCTAATTTTATACATTTCCATACTTTGGAGAGATAATAGTGACTTGTTTTTGGCAGGGAGCGGGGTGACGTGAGGCATGTCGTAACTCTCTACCCTGAATTGCTTGAGAAACTAGAGTAATGGAAAAACCTTGGGTCTGAGAGTGCTGGTCTGAACCCATGAAATCAGACAAGTTGTATACTTCCAAAGTACAACGGTGAGACAGGTGTTGGATAGGCATTCCCGTGCCGCAAGGGAGAAATATGCAAGAAAGGGGTAACAGGGCTCAAGAAAGTCTAAGACCCAACAAGGCAAACAAGATTCAGTCTTCAGGCTTGAGAATCATCTTCTTTGACTTCATGTCTTGCCTTCTGGACACACTGGGATGGGAATTGGACCCCAAAGGTCTTGTGTGGCCCTGCCCCCATAGTTTAGCTGAATGTAGCCCACGTGACAGCTCTCAGGTGTCTGTGGCTCCCTGAGGCTGGTGTTGCATACTGGATTTACAATTCTGAGGTCTCAGGGTGACCCTGCCTTCGTGGTTCCCCGAATCATTGTCTTACTGGGGACTCTCTGCAGTGCCTCTGCCCCTGTGGCAGTTCTCTTCCTGGTCCACAAGGCTCTCCAAGGAATCCTTTGAAATCTAGCTGGAGGTAGCTCTTCCTTCACAGCTTTTGCAATCTATATGTACATGCAGAGTTGGAATCATGCAGGTGTCACCAAAATTTGCCACTTACACCTTCTGGAAGGGCTGCCTGAGCTAGATCTGGGCCACTGGAGCCATAGCTAGGGTAGCCAAGAGACACCGCACCAGAATGCAGGGAGCAGAAACTCCAAGTGAGCCTGGGCAGCAAGGCCGCAGTAAATATTGGGCCGAATTCATTTCCACCACTTGTTAGATCTCTGACACTGGCATCGTTACTTAATATCTTTAAACTTCCTTTTTTATTTGTAAAACGAAAATAGAAAAGCAGTTTCTTTAGGGTTTTTGTAAGGTTTGAGTATAATTCGTGTTAAAGTCCACAAGATACTGCCTGGGGCAGGGTGGATGGCCAGTAAGTTGTATCCTGTGACTTAGCATCCTGCTCTTGTTCAGATGAGCTGCCGTACAGCGCTAAAGAGCCGTGGCAATAGGATTATAATATTGTCTTAGCCTGTTTTGTGCTGCTGTAACAGAATACTGGAGACTGGGTAATTAATATGCAACCAATTTATTGGCTCACGGTTCTGGGGGCTGGGAAGTCTAAGATAGAAGGATCAGCACTAAGAGCCAAAAGAGTGAGCGAGCAAGAGGTTGGACTCATAGCCTCAAGCCCTTTTATCATCAGCCTTAATCCATTCAGAATGTTAGATATAGTGAACCCGAAGTTTCTATTCAACTAATCAGTATGTCTATATGTTCAGCTCTCTTAGTCTCTAATCCTCTATTTTCAAGTTTAACCTCCTTGTAGTTTCAGTAAACAGCCTTTACCACCAGTTCTAATCAGTAGTTCACATCTGTTCCCCCAATCCCCTGCCCCGTCCTGACTCATCCCAGTCACCTGCTGTGGTCACCTGCTTTGACCCCTGCTTACCTGCTCTGACCTGCCTGTAACCATCCTTCCCGCCAAACTACCCATCCTGCCACTCTGGCTCGTACCCCTCCTCCCTTTAAAATAGCCAATCGGAATTAGACTAGACTGTGCCGCCTAACCCTAGCCAAGCGGGGAATGGCAGCAGTAGGGGTGACCTCCGTCAGGCATAAGTCCCCTTCCCCTCCTTGTCCAGGTGTGCACTCGCCATTGTTCCATCTGTGAGCCACACGCTTCTATAGAAGTAAATTGCCTCGCTGAGGACATTTATATTCCAGTGCTACTTCGTTTTTGGCATCGAAAATTCTATTTATAACAAGAGAGTGGAGCCCTCGTGACCTAACCACTCTCATCAGCCATACCCCACAACACTGTTGTTTTGGGGATTAAGTTTCCAACACTTGCTTTTTGGGAGACACATTCCAACCATAGCAAATATATTTAAAAGCTGTACTAATCAAGATGTTTTTTTTCGGGGGGGGGGGAATTTTTTTTCTTTTTCTTCTTCTTTTGAATAGGTTACTATCTCCCTTAGTCTAAAGCATCTGTCTTGGGGAGAATAGGATTATTGCAGGAGAAAAGTTTGACATTCATACTCAATTTTGACAATCCTAATAGGGTCTTTCCTATAAAATAATAAGAGCCTTCTAAAGTCAGACTATTCTCTTGAAGGAATTTAAAAAATGTCTTTAGCTCCTCCTTGAACATAATAAGAATGAAGACTGGAATACTCAGGGCGTAGATTTCTCCTGCAGAGAATGTGCTGCTTCCAGCAGT